CTTCTGCTAATCCTAACCCCACAATGAGCATTGAAATATTGTTTGGCACAAATTATAAAATGTGGTCACAGAAAATACAAATGTACTTGACTACAATGAGACTATTTAAAACAGTAAATGGGCAGAGACCCACAGAAGCAGGAAAATAGCAATCACAGTTTGATGAAAATGCAGAGAAAGCTTCAGCTTACATTTGCTTGTCTTTAGATCCCAGCATAGCATACCATATCCAAGGTTTAACTCAGGTGTAGGCAACCTAAGGCCCAGGGGCTGGATGCAATCCCCCAAGGCCTTTGGACCAGCCCCAGGCCGGTCCTGCCTGTGTCACCGGCACCGGCCGCTGGTCGCCGGTCGCCCACTGCCCACTATGATGGTATTGATTATTATTGTTATTACTTGTTCTTGGCAAAATATCCACAGAGGTTTTGCCATGGCTTTTCTGGGGCTGAGAGAGTGTGCATGCATATATATTTATTTTTTTAAATTTTTTTTAAAAAATATTTTTATTTTTATTTTTATTGATTTTTTTTATTTTTGGTGCTTCGGCCCCCCAATTGGCTGAAGGACAGCAACCCGGCCCCTGGCTCCAAAAGATTGCCTACCCCTGGTTTAACTGATGCAAAACAGATATGGAATAAACTACAAAAACTGTTTGATTTGCCAAGTACTTGTAATCAAACAGCTCTCATGATCAAACTTGTTAACAGAAGTCTCATCCTTGATTTTTGAATCAGCATATTAATGGTTTTATGACTACTTTGTCTGAAGTTGCAGCACCTGAAGAATCCTTCCCAGAACATACAAAACTTGGACTGTTTTAGGCTAGCCTTCCAAAATATTGCTCCAATAATTAATGCTTTGTAAGTTAAAGGAAATCTTTCTTTGCAAGATGCTATTGATAAGTGATGTTTATGTTGATGAAAGACTATAGCCCAAAACTAATCCAAACCAAGATGTCTATCCAGATGTATTTACAGTGGAAGAAGACTCCCATCAACAACCAGAGCACGTGGAGTTTTCATCCTCCAGAGATCTTACATGCAAAAGGGGCTACATGTACAGTGGACTAGTCTAATGATGAGGAATCAAATGGCACATAAGAAGCAGAGCCAGGTAGCTAAGTCCAGGTGAGAATGTCAGAACATTGCAATAGAAGTGTACCATGTGAATGATTTTCTTATTAAGCCACAGAGAAAGGAATTTCAAAATCCTCAGATTGGAAAAAGATCAAGGGCCTTCCAAAGACTGATTCTGAGAAATGGGTGCAAGCCACTATTGAGGAGATGTAATCTTTATATAAAAACAAGAGATGGACTTTTTCAGAATTGCCAGAAATAAATTTCTGTAGATGGACCTTTACCACAAAGCAAGATGCAAAAGGGGAGATTCAGAGATACAAAATAAGACTTGTGGCTAAAGGCTACAGTCAAAAGTATGGTGAGGACTAGAACGAAAACTTTGCTGGAATATGGTATCACACACACAACCATCAGAACTCTCCTAGTTGTGACAGCCTACAAGAAAATGAATGTTCAACATCGGAATGTCCGAACAGCTTTTCTTTATGGTGATCTCTCTGAGCAGCTATATATGGAACAGCCTCCAGGATTCTAAATTCCTGGAAAAGAATATCTTGCATACAAATTGCAAAAGAGAAACAGGCCGCTAGAGCATGGAGTGAAAAACTTAACCAGCTTCTTATCAAAGGAGTTTTCATTCCAGGCACTGTTGACAAATATGTGTGGAAAAAATTCAGAAATAATAAATTGACTTATATCAAAAGTTATGTGGATGATATGATCCTGTACACTGAGGTCAAAGTAGACAGTGAAGAGATAATCCAGAATCTCAAGAAAGAGATTGAGATCAAGAATTTGGGACACATCTCACACTGTCTTGGAATGCAAATAGAAAGAAGCAGTGATGGAAGTTTCTTTATTAATCAGAAACAGAAGATAATGGAACTTCTGGACTGTCTTGGCTGAAAGATGCAAATGCTATGCCAACGGCAATGGAATAGGATTCTTAAAGGACACTAAGGAATCTGAATCTTTAAAAAATGGAGACAAGTATAGGACTGCATTTGGAAAACTCCTATACATAGCCAATTTCACCAGACCTGATATTGCAAATGCTATTGGATGCAGAATAGCCAACTCAGAGAGATTTAATTGCAGTAAAGAGAGTTGCCAGATATTTGAAAGGAACTGCAAATCACAAATTGATGCTGCCAACCTCTAAGCACAACTGATCACCTATGTGGATACAGACTGGGCTGCAGACCTGGCAGACAACCAGTGGAAAAGTAATCTTGTATGGTGGAGGAGCTGCAAGTTGGACAATTAAGAAACAATCCACAATTGCAGATTCTTCTATTGGTACTTAATGTGTTTCAACAAAGGCAGCATGTGATAAAACAAAATGACTGCACAACTTGCTTCTGAACTTTGGGATAACAGAGCCCAAACAAACCAATCTGATGCAAGATAATCAAAGCTGCATCAACATTTCTGAGAGTGAGAAGCCATTCAAGAAAAATATTGGCATTGCCTTCCACAAGATACAAGAGATGTGTCAAAATGGACTTTTCCTGCAACACTGAAGTGATGATTGGAGACAACCTTACCAAATCTCTACCAAGAGATCATTTCCACAGACTACACAAAAGGATGAAGATCCTTGATGTTGGTCTAAGAGAATGAGAAGGAGATTGTTGGAAGATTTTTTGCATTCTACCTGAGTGAATTCACAACCATATAGATACATAAAACATGCTACTAAAGATACAGAACTTATAAGAGGAAGACACTGGGGACCCTAGCCTTTATACATTTAGGGAAAGTGTATCAAGGGTGGATGCTGGGCATGTATTATACATGAGGGGCCTTTGAATGTTTATTAAATAAAAGGTAACCTCAAGGCATAGATAGGAAGCCTTTGTGACAGCAATTTAAAGGGGTTTACAGAGAGCAATACTGTACTGATTGCACATGTTGAGCTCCAATCAGGGGGACATTGTGAGGTGGAAAATGGCTCAGTAGCAGCCTTAGGATCATGGCATGGCCAGCTTATGCTGAGGTCAGATATGGGCAGAGTGTCTGACTGACCTCAAATGAGACTGAATTGGGGGTACCTGGGCAGGCATATTTATAGTACAAAGCATATCCCAGGGAATGTTTTGTGAGTTGAAAGGATTTCCTCAAGGGGAGAATGAACAAGGAAGTTGAGAATATTTGGACAATTAGTATAAAAGTTCTTGGACAAAAGAGGGGAATGTACCTGGATTTCTGTTCACATGTAAACACTAGGTCTATCACCCACCTTCGCTTCTATCAGTGCAGGGGTATGTAGATTCTGATCTATCCTGTCTACATACACTTGAGCTTCCCCATGCTAAGCCTCCTTATATGGCAAGGCAATTTCCTGCACTGGGGCACCCTCATGGCTACATGCTTTAAACATCTCATTTCTATATCAATTTGATATTGGCACAGAGGTGGGGTGCAGAGGGCTAGACCTTGGAGTAATACACAGCATAGCTTAACAGTTTGGTGGAAGTATTCTACATTCTACCAATTGAGCCTCACCCTCACAGATTCACTGTTTAACTGCTACAACATTTCCACAGCAATTCAGCAGCAGGTCGATGGGAGGGAATGGAAAAGCATCTGGCCGTGGCACCATAGCCAGATGAAGACCAATGACCTCATCCACTGAGATCCAACAGAGTCTTGTGGAGGTCTCAGCAGATGATGTAATTCTGCAATTGGTTACAGCAATATAGCCAGGCACATCACTGATTTCTCGGTCTCTCTTCCAGCCACCAGAGGGCTGTCAGGGGATTGCAAAGGCTAGAGTAAGTCAGGGGGTGTCTTTCATTGTTGTAGAGGGTGAAAAAGAATACCAACCACTGCAATGACAAAACAAAAGTGAAACACAAGTGTAAGATGAACCAACACTTGCATATGTCACTATCAGGATGCTACTCTATGTTTCCTGCACCCAAAGCATGGAAGTGACTTTAAATTGAATCAAAGATTTGTTACTATCTCAGATTACCAGAAACAAATCAGCATGAAGACATTTTATCTGGGGCTACCTTTGAAAAGTCTATTGGAATTTCCATGTCTGCAGTGATACTACTGACTTCCTAAGACAGTGATGCACAGCACTATCATGGACCTTTGCAGACTGCTAGAAATAGTGCAAATTGAGTCCACTTTAACTGCTCTGGCTCAGTGCTAGGGAATCATGGGAATTGTATTTTTTCTGAGACATTGAGCCTTCTCTGTCAGAGAGCTCTGGTGCCACAATAAAATACACTTCCCACGATTCCCTAGCACTTAGGGCCTTTGAAGACTGCCAGAAATAGTGCAAATTGAGTCCACTTTTATGGTTAGGGTTAGTGCTAGGGAATCGTGGGAATTGTTTTTTTTCCCTGAGACATTGATCCTTCTCTGTCAGAGCTCTCTGGTGCCACAATAAAATACACTTCCCATGATTCCCTAATCCTAACCCTTAAAGTGGACTCAGTTTGCACTATTTCTGGCAGTCTGCAAAGGTCCCTTGTCATCCTGATACTGAAAGACCTGCCCTGGTTGGCAGTTGCTTTCTATGGCTAATTCAAAGTATTGATTCTACACTTCTAAGGCCTACATGGATTGAGGCCTGGCTGTTCAAGGGATCACTTGCCTCATTATCAATCTGTCTGAATATTAAGATCTTCAGAAGAAATCCTTTTGAAAGTACAGTCACCTGGGGAGTTCCACTTGATGGCCACACAGGCAAAGGAATGCAGTCCTTGTACAGGTCAGAGAGAGAGAAGAGAGTGTGGGATGCACTTTCCCAAGGATTATGATCAGTTACTTCTCTCTTAGGAAGGGTGTGAAGATGCATCTGTTCAGTATAGCCTTTCACCAATTAAATAAATAAATAAAAACCTCCAGAATTTAAATTATTTTCACAGTGATTTTAACTGTGTGATTATGATTTTAATAAGAGCTAGAATGGTATAGTGGCTTGAGCATTGGACTAAGACTCTGATGACCAGGGTTTGATTCCCTGCTAGAACATGGAAACTCACTGGGTGACCTTGGTGAAGTCACACTCTCTCAGCTCCAAAGAGAGGCAAAGGCAAACCCCCTCTGAACAAATCTTGCCAAGAAAATTCCATGTTAGGTTTGCTTTAGGGTAGCCATAAGTCAGAAATGACGTGAATGCATACAACAATTGCAATAAAGAAGGTAAAACATTTTAACAGTTTTTTTGTGTCTTACCTGTTTTTAATTTGATTTTATTCTCTTTTAAATTTGTTTCTAATGATGCTGTTAGCCACCCTGAGCACTGTTTTTTGAGTGGAAAGGCAGGACAGAAATGTAATCAATCTATCAATAAATACAATAAAAACCAGCATTTAAATTATTAATTCAGCAAGTGTCTAATATAATTTTTATTACATTCCCTCTTTTTTGTTGCAGAAATTTAATGGGATGTCTGTTATTTACAAAAATGAAAGATCCAATGAACTCATTCAAATATTTCCTTAAATTTCAAAGTACTTTCATTTTTATTTCTGTATAATATATACAACATAATAATATCATGAGTAATAGTCTTGACCTTTCTGATCCCAAAAATCATAAACATGTCACAAAAGGAGCACCTTTAAATCTTCTTGTAACAGTAACAGAAGGTAAAACATTGAGCCTAGCTGATGTTAGACCACCCTTACATTTCTGGGTTTTTAGCATTTCTGAATAGCTTTCCACTTCAGTCTTGCAAATGTAATCCACATTCAGAAATAAAGAGCAATAGATTTTATTTGCTTGACATATTACATATTTTAGAGGTATAAGTCCCTAATTTTCTGAGACAGTAATTTCCCCACCCCCACACACATCATTTGATTAGATCCCATTATGATCAAAATCTCAGGGGAAAACCCCACTATATATATCTTGTTCCAGAACAGCTTCATACCAGGAAAGCATAGGTATTTCATAGTCAACCAACCCCCCCTACAGCTACAGAAACAGAATAACCAAGCCCAAAAGTTAAAAGCATCGAGCCAAGGTTTAGATCTAATTGGTTGGAATCCAAGTTCTAGATAAAGAGCAGAAATCCTAGTATATTTAAGAAGACTGAAAGAAGCATATCTGTCCACCATCACAAGCTGCCCAACACTTTCAGACCATATTTCAGCTCCTGAACAGCACATGGCTAACAGGGCTTTGTTTTAATGCACATGGGAACCACTTAAAGTGTGATAAAAGCAAGCATTTTCAGGTGCTGTTTGTTGCCTTAGCTTTAGCTGTAAAAGTTTGAAAGGGCCAGTCCAGAAATTCTAATATATATATGTGTATATATATATATATATATATATATATATATAGAGAGAGAGAGAGAGAGAGAGAGAGAGAGAGAGAGAGAGAGAGAGAGAGAGAGAGAGAGAGCTTTGGATCTGTTCAGTCTGACTGCCATTTGTAGTTATGTCTAAATTTTCTCCTGCCTCCAGACAAAATCATAATATTTAAATTATATTATAAATTATGAACTATTCTGTCATTTATAAACTATACAGATAATCTATAATTGATACCTAATCTAATCTGTAATATATATATAAACGTTCTCCTGCTTTTTGAGAAAAGTATAATCCTGGTTTCAATCATCAATCAATTGATAATTGAGTCTTAGTAAAGCAAGCAGCAAAACAAAAACAAAACAAAAAAAAATCCAAAACATACAAAAGACTCAGTCCTGACTCAGACTGATCACAGCAAGCTAGGGTGGGAAACATGTAGCCCTCTACATCTTGTTGGACTGTAATTCCCATGATACTTCAACATTGGTTGTGATAGCTAGAATGGGTAGGAACTGCATGCCAACATCTAGGACACCACAGGTATCCTCACCTCTGGCACAAAGTAATATAACAAGTATAGTATTGGGGTGTCTGAATGAAGCGGGGCTAAAATACTAACAGTATCACTTTTTAAGAAAGTTTAAGCAAAAAGGAGCTAACATATATCCATCCATTATGTCCTCCCATTATAGTTAATCCTGAGCCAAATGTGTCTTGTTCAGCGGCAACATATTTGCATTTCCCTTTGACTGTAACACAGGCATTATGTGTATGGACTACCGTCCCAAACACTTGGTGGAGTTACAGAAGAGGGTCTTCTTGGTGGTTACTCCAAGCCTTTGAAACTTCTGCTGTAGGGAGGCTAAAGATGGCTTCCTCCTTCCTGTCTTTTTGTCATTAAGTGAAGATATTACTATTCTGACAGGCTATTAGGAACTGACTGCAAAGGCTTTCCATAATGCACTGTTTTAAATTGCATGTGGCTCTGGTATGAGGCACCCCATTTGGCCTTCTGTTTGGCCCCCTGGGGTTGTTTGTTTCAACTAAGTGGTATGTTCTAATATGCTCACATATATGGCATGGAGTACAGGTACTCAGAAAGACAAACAGACTACTTAGGTGAGCACTCTGAGGCACCTGGAAGGTAAAGGTGGCCCATCCTATTATCCATCTTGAGTAAATGGTGAAGGATGCAAACCTTCAGCTTTGTAAGCTTCTAGTCTGTTGAATACTGACCAATGGGGATATACTGGAGTGGTGAAATTAACAGGTGATGGAAAGACTGGATTGGTTCATGACAGTGTATTATGTAGAGCCAGAACTGAATTATACAACTGTATGTCAGAGGTAACACTCAAATATTTCCCGGGGCTAATGGATACCCATATATATCCACCAGTTTATTATCCAAAGCAGGACCCTCTAGGATCAAGGTCCAAATTCAGGCTAGGAATGTACCTACAATACACAGTTATAGCTATCTGATGATTCTTTAGCTGTAGTAGTTTGATGATAATAACACTTTTTATGTGTCATGGAGTCACAGGCTAGGCACTCATTTGTTATATATTTTGCAACATTTAAGCCCCTAAAGCCTGAATATTAAGGACATATGTCTCTGTTTAGAGTAAAAATGAGGATGTCTGACTGTTTGATTGCAAAATATTAAGAGTGTGGGCCAATCATCTAGTTCTGTACATGAAGCCATCCAAGCCACACAACAAAGATGTTAAAAAAGAAAGTAAGGCAATAAGGAGCCCAGGTAATAATGCAATGAGTGGGACCTCCAAATAGAGAGAGGTTAGCTAACAAACAACAAAGAACACTCAGTCCCTCAGTCTTAAGAGACAGGAATAGGAAATCATGCCTGCTTCAAGCTGCATCTACACTACGGAATTAATGTAGTTTGTTTCCACCATAACTGCCATGGCTCAATGCTATGGAATTCTGGGATTTGTAGTTTTGTGAGACATTTAACCTTCCTATCAGAGAGCTCTGGTTACACAACAAACTATAAATCCCAGGATTCAATTGGATGGAACCATAACAGTTTGATGGTGTCAAACTGCATTAATTCAGCAGTGTGGTAGCAGCCTCAGTGACTCCAGCCTATGAAATTTTGGTGTCTGTATTTTGTCAAGATGCTTAGAATTGCCTCTAATTCTAGAGCTCTCAAGTAGAGAATTCTGCATACACTACCAGACTGCAAAGCTCAATATTCCATAAGAGGGAATCATGAGAATTAAGGTGGTATCATCAGGTTGGTATAACTGTGCAGTGCAAATGCACTCTTGGTCCAGATTCAGACACATCTGCTTGCTTATTCATGCAACTCAGCAGGACACACAGTTTTTCAACCTCTACCAGGGTTTGTGGAAAGTTCCCTTTCATGGTCCCAAGAAAATGAGAATAGCTTACAGAAGAAACAGTGCTTGATAGGTTGTATGCTACATCTATCTTATCACAATCTGCTGTGAGCTTAACTGCCTTTGATCTTATCTAATAACAGATAAATGGCTAAAATAATCACCATTTAAATATATTAGGTTGTTTGACATAGGTACTACACACAAGGAAAATCAATAATGATTATACAATCAAGAGATACAATGTAAACTGCATACCACAAATGCCTTTGCAGGGTTAGATAACATCACAGATTTCCTAATGAAAGTCAATAGCTATTTGTTTTCAGGAGCAGCACTTGAACTTTGGGGGTTATTCATTTTCACAGTAACTAATCCAACTGTGGGTGCAAGGTTTTAAAATGAATATCAAAGAAAGAATGACAAGTAGACTCAACAAACAAGTGTATGGGAAAGGGCCTTGGTATCCCTTTGAAAAGCAAAGAGGTAGATTGGTTTTCACCAGAAAAAGTAGTACCAAGCATACAAACTTTCCTCTCTGTTTCTTTATTTAAAAAAAAAAAAATTGGACATAATCCATTAATAATTATGCCTTGGATGGATTTAAGTATATATTTAATTTTCAAACAACAATCAACGGGGGCTTTTTGTGACTGTTTACTATGGCATTTGTTTTCAAAATGTATACACACTACAAATACACTCTAAATACTGCAACACCACCATAACATGTGACACTGGAAGACAATGCTTCCATGATGCCAGACAGCTAGTCATACCTGACATCCAGACAGGGCCAGTCCTATTATTAGACAAAATGAAGCAGTTACCTCAGGGAGCTGACTTTGAATTGCATGAATGGAGAGCAAACTGTGAGTTATGATTATTGTATTTTCTATTTATTCTCAGGTAAAGGAACTTGGAGGAATCCCCCCCCCCTTTGGTTTCAGGTATCAAAATAACATGAGTATAATCTGTCATTGCTGGGTGTCTCTTTCTGACCTCAGAGGTGAGCTACCCATTGTGGTGACAGGTGTTCTGGGTGGCCCAGAGGGATACCTGTGCAGAGAACTGCTGGATCATGGAAAGGGAAGCAAGGTAATGGGGGAAGGTTGGTGCAGCTGTGGGGACAGGATACTCTGGGCTGCCCTGGAGTATCCTGGCCAATGCACACAAGGCCTCAGATCATGAGCTGCCACTGTACATGGCCATCAAATACCAGACCTGTACTCCCAGAAGATGTAAAGAGTTTACGCCTGCAATATATATTTCTTTCAACAAAACATTTAATCCCAAACATTTAATTTAGGCAGGTTTTGGCTCTTAACTCATGGGGCAGAAA